TTGCGCGTCATTAATGCGTTAACGTGGCTGCATCGCACGACGTAACGCCGCGACTCCATCATTCCGATAAATAGAGGAGGATCTAGATAGCAGGGGTATGTTGCTCACTTGCTGCGTTTTAGTATTCATCTTGAGAGAGGAACATTAGTTACAAAGTCGCGCAATGGTCCTCTTAGTACACAGATAATTTTCTCCGCTTCATTAAAGTTGCAATAATATTACAGTTAAAAAACAGAAAAAACTAATTTAGTAGTAACAAAAGAAATTTTCGAGTCTTTCGAGAAATTTTGTATTAATGTTCTTCATCGTGAGTGAATTAAGCGACGTATTACTAGCTAGAATGAATTTTTTGCAAATGTATTATATTTTATTGCAAATATATTATATGTATGAAATTACTGTTTCGGACAATGAAAGCAATTTTCATTTGCAGAATTATTAAAATCGAGCATACGGGCGGACGAGGTAAAATTGGCTTATAATTAGGACCGGTAGGAGGCCTATGGAAATCTCTCACGGAGATCCCGGGCTACCAATTACTAATCAGCATACATATTTGATATGTAGCCTTCTTATCCTGCGTTACTAGGTACATCTGAACTCGATATACTAGGACAAAATAGCTATATTGAGAAGTTGTGACTTTGAAATTCTGAAATATGTGGGTCATAAAGCCCCAGTCTCGCCTATTCGTGATCGATTCGAGCGAAAAAATTGGGTAGCAATTATGTTAAGTGCCATGTTAATTAATACGCTTTAACTAACGTTAATTTGCTCCTAAAAAGGAAGACAAAATACCGCACTTATCGTCGTAGCCGTCGGAAGAGCAAACGAAACGGGAAAGTTTTCAAAGAAAACGCAAAACATTGCGCGAAAAATATTCTAATTAGCGTCGAACGCGCTTCTCTAACATTGATATTAAATCCCGATGGATCTCGCGTTGAGTGTTCTCAACGTAATCTTCCCGACAGAACCGCAGCACGCATCCTTGAAACCGCGCGGATCCCGAGAGGCAAGGTGTTTTATTGATCTCAGGCGAATGGCACCATGGGGTTTGGCTGTATTAGAAGGTTCATCGCAGCCACGGCGATGCTGCCAGGTATTATTGGGTCGTAGACTTTTCCAAAGACATCTGTCTTCACCCTGGGATATCTCCTCTATAATCCCACTCCCTACTACAGAAAAGTTTCTCTCACCCCAATGTGTTACTGAGAGGTGGATGAAGCTTGCCAATTTTTGACGAGGGTCTCAATTTTTTGCGGGTTAAAGTGGGTCGATGAGCTAGTTTCTTGTTTTCGCATATAATTGATACTTTATACGTTCTTCTGACAGTGTGGGACATTAGTCGATTAAAATATTAATTGACTAAAATAATTGTCGAATAATAAAAATTAATCAAACACTATATATAATCAGAGATATAATTTGATTGTTTAATAAAATTAATTATCAATCAATATACAATCAATGAAATCAAAGTTTGATTAATAATTAATTTCATCGATATAATAAATTATTCGTGATTACGTATATGAGATTAATTTTCATTACTGATTGGCCGATTATTTCAATCAACCAAAATTTCATTCGATTAATACCTAACTGTTTCTCAGATAGTAATACAGAGAAAAAAATATCTGAAAAATAAAAAAAATATTTATCCAATAAGTATTAATAATGTATTTATTTAAATCTAATTTCTTTTATTTAAAAAGAATAAACAATTGCTTCCATGAAAAGTTAGGAAAATTTTAAGAAAATTTTTATCTTTTTACTTAAATATTTATTTTTTTAAATATTCTATATAAATAAATATGTTATTACAGTATCCACCGAATAAACATTTTTCACTTTTCAGATATTTTTTCTCTTAATGTAGAGACAATTGATATAAATTTCTTAAGCTAAAAGGCTCGATTTTTGCAAATTTCTTCTTTTGGTACATGAGGAAAATATCCCTATTTTTATATATAAACGCGGCCTCTCACTCTAATGCTAACAATTGATTTTTTAATCAAACTGTTGCTAACTCTGTTGCGTCTATTATTAGAGCAGTAACAAGTTCAACTGTCGCTTCTGGCTAAACTGTCTTTAGTCTTTAACATTACCTAACTTTGTAACGTCGTCAACTATGTTTCGCGCCCTTGTCGTACTCTCACGTTCCGCCTTACCTTTGTTTATTACAATGTAATATTCCCCACTGTAATATAGCTTATTATTCTCGCGCACTTGCTAAAGTACTTCGGCATACTCGCTACAAATGACGTTTACATGAGTCGTTCGAGCGATTCGGATGAAATTCGCTACTGACGCGGATTACACGGACGAAGGGAGTTGTTTCATACGGAATACCAGCGCTGGAGTAAAGTGCAGCGTAAGATTATATCGTGTAAACTTTCCGCGGGAGAAGCCATAAAATTCAATAACTTATCCGTCTCCAAGCTGCCGCCGCTCGACGACACGCAGCTGCACGTAAAATGCACGTAGCAATAAATTCGCCCGGTCGACTTTCGATCGAGGCCTCTCGAAGGCCACCCACCCATTCCCCCTGTTTCCCAAACCCTCAGGTCCGCGCAGCGACGCGTAACACATCTCGCGACGTGGGAATTGCGATTGGAACGTGCGCGACTTTAATCTCGGCGCGAAATTAATCTCGGAATGCGTCCCTGTCGTTTCGCCGACGATGTAAGAGTCGGATTTATCGGCTGCCACTTCGAATTGTGAGGCGTACGCGATCAGGGTTTGCGCACCACTTTCGACACCTGCCCCCGCTGCCTCACCCCCAAGTTCACCCAGCGACCTGCATGCTTCCCGTCCTTCACCTCGCCCATCAAAGACGAACAAGCGCGACCTGTGCGCGCCGCGAGAGGATCTCGGAAATAGAATCGTTAAATTTTACGGCATATCCGGCGTATTTACGATCTGAGGCTTTCTTCGCCGTCGTCGCGGCAATCTTCCTTCGGTAACTCGCAGCCGGCTACGTCAAATCCCGAGCTGCACTCTGCGGCAATGCAGGTGACGCATCGCCCCGTAACTGCAGCCGTGGTGCATGCACACGCCGTCGTCGCTTGTCAAACGCGAAGGTGCCATTACGCAACTAAATGACATTTGTCTCGGACCGTTGCAGGCCCGTCGTACTCTTAGGGCCGTCCTACACAAAATGACTACTGCATATGCATAGCATAAGACCGTTTCGACCAATGAACATGTTTTATAGATCAATATGGCAACTTTATCCTAGACCGTTGGTTGAGATGCATATGCAGCTATATTTTGTGCGCAATAATCTTTATCTACATCATCCTGTTATTTCTCGCTAACGAGGTGTCAATCGTGATTTAACTGTTACGATTTAGTAGTTCGTTTTATAAAATCGTGTGGCAAAATAACGAATAAAGGACAAGGGCGCACACACAAAAAAAGAATATCCCGAATCGAAATTTTGATTCCACATTAATTCTGTAAATTTCGTTATAAAAATTTTGATTCCATATTAATTCTGTAAATTTCATTATAATAAATTTTCAAATTTGACATAATAGTAAGGTGACCAGACGTCCCGATTTTTCACTCTTTGCCCCGAGTTTTTTTGAGTGCTGTTCGGGACATCGGTTTGTCATCATTTTCAATGATTGTCAAATAATTTTCGGATCTTTTTACCGTCTTCCCCCGCTTCACACATTTATGAAGTGTCCCGAGTTCAGGGTTGGGAAATCTGGTCACCTTACATATATTGCGAGGAGAAACGAGAAGATTACTTACAAATGACGTCTTCACGATACGTCCCGGCGATCACATATCGCTATTCTCGACACTCCCGATACTTATTTCCGCGCGAGACTTACTTTCGACGGGTTAAAGCGCGTAAAATGCGGAGCGATGTCGATCGATGTGTCCACGGTGGTTACTCGCAGAAAGATCGAGAATCAAGATGGCCGCGCGATTATTGAATCGCGTTCAAAATATACGCCAATATATGAATGACGTCGCGGCCGAAAAGAACGCGCTCTATGAGATACTTCTCTTTTTCTAACAAGTTGATGCAATCGCCCGAATATTCCATCTCTCTCTCTCTCTCTCTCTGATTGTCATTGGATTTCTAATTCCCGTTCAATAAATCTGACGATCGCCCGATTCTATTGCTACTTGAGCGAGTCAATGTTATTAGCAAACATAAGGGATGTCGGCGCGATAAGCATCGGCCGCATATACTGCGAGAAGAAACGAGAAGATTACTTACAAGTGACGTCTTCACGATACGTTCCGGCGATCGCACATCGCTATTCTCGACACTCCCGAGACTTATTTCCGCGCGAGACTCACTTTCGACGGATAAAAGACGCGAGAAACGCGGAGCGATGTGGATCGATGTGTGCCCATGGCTGCTGCTTGGCGCGAAAACATCGAGCATTTCGCGCGATTCATTACCAACGCCTAGATTGAATAACCAAGATGACAACCTCGTAGCGTGAAACGAACGCGATTGATTTAGAGAGGTTAGTAACTCGAGCATGTTGTTAAGACGTTCGCCGTATAGTTCGCGCACAGAAAGCGGAAATTTTCTACACAATAAACGTTTACCACACCTGGACATATATGATGTATCGCTGACTGCGTCTCGGCATCTTGGCTTCTCGATTCAGCATCCTGGTTGCAGGCTGCTTCGTCCTGGCGTATCTCCTTGGCAGTGACACTGACACTCGCGTAGATACGATTCGATTAAAACAATGCGTGTTAATTAACGCGACACCGGTGAGAGAGCTCGATGAAGTATTCCGGACGGCGAAGTGGAAACAAAACTAAGGCACCGACGCGCGTATCTCGCGAAGCGACTCGTGCGACGCTCATCGGCTCGAGACGTAATGACTCGGCGGTCGCGGCGTAAGCGACGCACAGGAGTACCAAACAAGCGGGGAAAACTCTAACCTGTCCCCACCACCTGCCGGCCTTTCGGGTGCGCCACTGAATAGTGCGCGTAACCCGCAGTCGAGAGAGATTACAACAAACAACGCTTCCAAAATATTATGGGTAAGGCGGCCATTATCATCAAGAGAGGCGTAACAGGCGCGTGCAACAACGCACACCTTTCAGTGTTAGTTTGTTACATTACGTCGAATATCTCAAGCCGGCGAACAACGCGCATATGTGTGGTACGTATATCTCTTCTCTAACGGTTTTAGCGACTTCGGCAGTGTCCAAACGTATCAGTCCTCTTTAACTATTTTGTGTTGTCACAAGTCTCTTTTCCGATTTCTCACACGGACAATACTGTACAAATAGAAGAAATGTGTGGGTAAAATTCAACCGCTCAATATTATGACTTCTAGTGAGTTCTATAGATACGTTCGGGGAGCTTGCTATTAGCTCTATTTAGCGCTATCGTGTCATTCTATCCTTGTTGTATATTTAAGGAGCGATAAAAATAGAAGAACGCGGTAGCGTTAGTAGCGTGCTTCCCGAATACATTCAATATGTATCGATGTGTTATAGGTTAGATCATCAAGTAGTTGAGGTATGTCGCATGTTAAACACGCCGTCCTGTCGAGCATGGATCATCATAGAACTACAATCTGTATTTTTTCACTATCAAACTGAGAATTGAGAATTATAATCGGAGCATTTGGGTAATTTAAATTTTGATTCTACTTGATCCATATATCTCATACAGTCATTAGTTCTCTTGTACTCTTTTGTACTCTCTTGTTTTCTCTCTCTCTCCATTTTTACTAAATTGTGAATATGTATCTACATAATAAGTGCAGAGCATGTATCTATGTAATGATTTAATTATTAAACATTGAATATATATATATATATATATATATATATATATATATATATATATATATATTATATGCAATATGTAGTATGCATACCTGCTTCTTGAGTAGAATACTTTTTGGGTACAGAGAGCAGATTTTTGTTGAAACTATTGTCGGCTTTGTCGACGCAAATCGTGTTTGCTGCAAGTACTTGTAAGCCCCCGTAAAGTTATCGAGTTCTCTCGTTGGTATCGCGTTAATTCACACGCATTTCTCCAAATGAGTCGTATTTGCACGAGTCGTATTTGAATGTTACAGTCAGTGTTAGCGTCTGGAATAAGTATCCGGAATATGCTATGATGCAACAGCCGAGAGCAGGATGCTGGGTCGAAAAGCCGTGACGCGGGGAAGCCGAGGTAAGGGAATGCCGAGACACGCGGATAACGCTCATCATATATTTCCAGGTATGTTAAATTCATTTTTTATACAGCATATTCGACAAACTCCATGAGTTCAACAAGGAGATACCTGAGTCAACATTTACAATTCACAGTACAAGTCATGCAAAAATGCTGATTTCTATCTCTAATTATGCTCTCTGGGTTAGGTTTGGGTTTTGTCTTGAGTCCTGCTAATCACCTTTTTTCTGTCTAACCTTGTCATTGAATTTAAAGCTGTATCGATGCTTGTAGGACGAATAACTGTTATCTTTACATCTTCTCTCCTTTTACAACTGTTAAATCTACAAATTTCTATAAAAATTTTCAAAAGTAATAGAATAAATAATAAAAAATAGATCAGGAGAAAAAAATATTCGTTGTTTAATTGCCAATGGCACTCGCAGCTTCAATGTTGGAAAAAAATTTCGATTCGGGTAACTCAATAATTTCTGGAAATTTGTCGGATTAATATTTTGCTCGATTGAACAAAACTGAATTGCATTACCAATTTTTCATATTTTTACATTAAATTTTTATTAACTTATATCTGAAGTGTTCAAGAGTAACAAAAATTGCCTCAACTGGCAAAAATTGCGTCTCGTTTTGCGAAAGAATTGCACGGTATGTTGTACACGGACGCTAGACATTGAAATGAACGCCCGGTGAAAAACGCACGCGATAAATCGTTACAGCGCGTCGAATAGTGATCGATTATCGTTGCCCGTGTAGATTAATCGCTGCAAGTATCGATCAGACAAGGCGTATATTGCAGAAACTTGTCGAAGAGAAGTCGTTTACAAATATTGACGCCTCACTAAATTTACAGTTCCTTGTGGACTACTTTGAGATTTTTGAATGATATATCTGAATTTTCTTCAGATTTTAATTACCAGTTGTCGCAGTTATTTGCACATGTAAAAAAATTCTCTTAGATAAATTTATCCATTTATAAAACAATAGATTGCTCTTATTACTCTACGTACATGTTTAAAAAATATCAAAATTTCATCTCTAAAAAGAAACGTTGAAAAAAACAATAAGACTCATTTGAATGTTATTTGTTTTTGAACGACAGAAATAATATTCACCTCTTTTATAGAGAAGAGAGTAGAGAAAGCCCTACGTAATGTGTTTGAAAAATAGATATAATGTATAATATAAATAAAATACGCAAATGATGCACATTAATTTATTATGTGAATTAATACATGTGAATGATTCACATAAAATCACGTTTGAATTATCCGGATAAGCCGTATTTCCAGGCAATCTGTAATCAGATAATGATTATTTCATGTATAATTTGAGGATTAAATTATGCTGGAATATTTACGGTCTTAAACAGCAATATAACCGTTTACTTTTTCCATTACAAATCAATGTTGTGTTTACAGGTACAGATACACGCGCAATGCATCATACGATATATTGTGGGCGTTGAAATTGCACGCTCACCATTTAGCGTTGAAATCCACCGACGTCCGGTCAGGTCCACCGACGAAACCCGCCGTTGCATCCCGAACTGCATTGCTTCGCATCAGGCACTCCGTAGTATCCAGCAGCCTTCGTTCTGCATCGTCCGACGTTGATTGCACTTTGTCTCACTCACATTCACGACGCAAATAATATATTATAACTCTATTATAACGGCGTCTAACGAATATTTCAATGGCATCGGCCAAGTTTCCATTTATTTTGGGACGAGATTTACGAATTCGCTTAACGCAGGACGAAATCGAGATATTCGTTCAGGGAATATCCACAGCGTGGAACGATAAATTTTAGTACCTCAAGAAAGCGCGCGCGCGCACACACACATACGCACGCGACACACGGTACGATAAATTTCGGTATTTCAGGAACACAATCGCGAATCACGAATTGCGTGTAAAAAATCGTACACGAAAGACCGCAGTGCCTTCGGCGAAATCGAGAACAAAACGGACAATATCTCGTTTTTACTTGCCAAAAACCGGATTTCCCGTTTCGTGAATTTGCGTTGTGTTGCAGTGGCGTTTTAACACACTCGCGCCGCAAACTGCGTGTAAAAAAAATCGATTGTGTATACCGTGAATTAAAGTCCGCACGAAGTAATTATTGCTACGTGAATGTGCACGTGGAAAATTGGCAATCAAATGCCGATTGTGTCAATCGCGGGATCTATCAATGCAGTACGTATGCGCGAAGTGACCGCGAATTGCGTGAAATTCTCACGCATGACAACATAGTAATATCTTTGCGTCCATTACTCCGTGATATTCGCGCAAGGACGCAATATTTTACGCAAACTACGCCGCGATATTTGCAGCAAGATACTTCGATAATATCGTGCGATTTAGTTTCGTTGCGATGCAACAGCGAGTTTAATTTAACGAATGGTTGAACACAAAAATTAAGCTGTAATTACGATTCACTGAGTGTAACGTTATAACAAAAGGAAAATTATGCTTTTTATAATTGATTTTTTTTCCGTTAAATGTACATTTTGTTCCGAGATAAATTAATATTTTTCGCCGAATATTGAACATTTGTTGTCGAGATATTAAACGGATGCAGAGTGATGCATTTCGGGATGCAGCGGGTTTCGTCGGTAGACTTGGCTGAACGATGGATTTCAACACAAAATGAAAACAACATAAAATCATAGTGAGTATACGATTTTAGTGCTCGCAAAGTGTTATATGATATGGTGCATATGTATAGTGATCATATTGATATGATCAATATAATATGATGAAATCATATTGATATGTAATGAGAAGGAAATAGAGGCAGTTATGCGCGTTGTCGTTTAGGGCTGTAATTATAGGGCTGTAATAATTTCATCCTCGAGTTATTTATGAATTATTACCCGGTTATTCTTGCAATCCGTTTACACCACTTGCATATACGGATTTATCCTGATAATACGAATTTATTAGTAGGAATATTTTGCACCTTATATTATGTCACTATTTCTGTAATTCATTTATATTTACAACGAACACGGAGGTAGACCTGTTTATGAAAATTAAAAGTAACGTATGTAAGTAAGTAATAGAAACGTATGTTATATGTTATATGAATATATTTTTCACATATTTTTTTAAAAAATATATTTCAAAGTGTATTCTCGGAATATGTTAAATTATTGTTATTTTTCGAAAATATGCTTTTCAATTATATGCTACAACTGTTTCTGAAGACTCTTATATTCTTGGCATTTTGAGCATTAACATGAGTTTGGTAGAAAATATGGTATTTTACACGTTCAATATGTTCCATTTCCAATTTTTTTTCTGTAATTGGTGCTTTTTCATTTCCATTTAAATGTGGAATATTTATTTATCGATAGCATTAACATGAGATTGGCTAGAAGTAACTCAAGTGGAACATGGTTAAAGCGTATAATGTCTGGTAATCGGAAGTACTCGTGATTGTTTTGGTTTACGCAGCATGTTGCATACACATGCGTTATAAAAATATTTTCACATATTACTGCAACAGTATAATGCTCTCTCGCGTGGTTTCATGCGCCGGCTAAGCCGCCACGATAGTTTACACATGCGTCCAGGGCGGAGAGAATCTCCGGAACGTCGGTTAATCGGAAGTTCATATTCCCGGGAATTCATTTTGCAATTCTGCTGCGTGTGTAAGCGTATGCGGACTGACTGTTATTTCGCCCAAATTGCTGTCTAGCTATGACATTTTCTTTCGCATTGCAAATTTGTGCGCGCGTGCACACACATAGTCGGAAATTATTTATCTTTATCTCTCTCTCCCCCCTCTCTCTCTCTGTCTCTCTTTTATGTCTCTTAAAAAATGTTACCAAGCATGATAATATAGTAATAGTCGAGTAATGGCGAAATGTATCGCGCGATTCGCAGATCTATAGAAATATACACTGTGTGTATGTGAGGAAAAAAATATTTATAAGAGATAAAAAATATTTACTCGACGGATAACATATTAACTTATACTAATATAAAATATTCTTCAAGTATTAAAAAATATACATTTTCTTAGAACTTTAGCTTTTTATGAAAGCAATTATTTATTCTGTTTAAATGAAATAATTGAGTAAATATGTATCATTTATTTGTGCATTGACGCACAAATAAATATTTTTTATTTTTTAAATATTTTTTCCCTCAGTGCATTTTAAGGACAATTTCCTTGACAAATGTCAATGAATTAAACGGCATGTTACTTCCACAGTTCGTGTATTTTAGAAAATTCCTTCGAGATTCACTCGTGACGAGGACGAACAGCCGCTGTATATTTTAGAAGGCAGGAAGAGATTCGCACGAGAGATTCTCTTCCTCATTTTTATGAGATGCGAAAAATTTGGGGAAAAATCGTGAAATAACAAATTGATGTTTTTGCTTCGCGACTTTTGACGACAGGGGCTGGCTGGTAAATGCTTAATGGTAATAAATTACTTGGCGCGATACGGCCGCGCGCGAACTTCCTCTCCACGGGTAATATCCTGGACAAGGGTGTAGTCTCGCGGGAGGCCACGCCGAGAGTCGTACCTACATATGTAACACGGGCAATGTCACGCGTGGGAATTCACGCGTCCCTGCGACTTGTTTCCTATCGAGAGTGTCCGTAAAGAATCCCTTCCGTCGTGTTCCCGCGGGACGTTAGCCGCCCGTTCTCGTCGCTACCAGAAACCCATATTTCTAGCGCGTCCGGAGGAGCACTTACCTCGCCCGCGATAGCTCCCTCTCTTGATTTACTTCCTGTCGCGTTGACTTCGCAGGAATGTGAAAAATTTCATCATTGCGACTCGGCACAGCGAGGATCGAAACCGATATAATTTCGGCGAGAATTCCAGGATTTCGTCGTCGCGCGCAAACACGCTTAGCTATCGATAAGGTGACCAGATTTTTCAGTCCTGAATTCGGGATACTTCATAAATGTGTGAAGCGGGTGAAGGGGCAGAAAAAGATCCGAAAATTATTTGACAATCATTGAAAATGATGACAAATCGGTGTCCCGAATAACACTCGAAAAAATTCGGGACAAAGGGTGAAAAATCG